TCACGTCGCTGTCAGTGCCGTCTTCAACTCTCTCCACTCATCTCTGGTCTAGAACTGCGTCTAGCCCACCGCTCGAGCCCAGCGTCCGACTCTCACACCACCCGTTGCAACTTCCCATGCTGCCATGCGTCCTCTCCTCCCTCGCCTGTCCAGATATCGTTGTTGTGGAGCTAACGGATGACTATGGAAGACTGGGGAAACGGGTTATAAGGGTCCAGGGGTGCTCATACGCGCATCGAGAGCCAGGTTACTAGGTGCGTCATCTTCTCAAGACGTCGACTGTACGTTGATCCTAGAGGTCGAAGCCATAGTGATGAGCGGACTGGGGGAAGGCAGAAGCGGCGCACAGTTGTCGTCAGGGCTGTACACTGTAGGAAGTAGATCCATTTTTTAGCAACGGAGATTCCAATGACCCAGATGATATGATTGGGATATCCAGTACATTTGTGCAACCTCAAAAAAAATGGAAAGTCCAGTACCGGAGAATCCAGTGATTTTGACTGGATACTCCAGTGCGGTGGATAACCCAGCAATATTTCCTTGGGTCTCCACTCATTACACTTCCAATTTTTATCACTGGAACCACTGACCTTGATTCTGAAGCCCCAGTTGGCATGAATCAAGCAAACAGACCGAAAGCCGTGGCCGGGAAGCTCAGGGGACGCTTAAACGTCTGGAAAGGTTGAGCCAGACGCCCTTTGCGACCGTTCTGACCCTAACCCGAGGCCGCCCAGCGCCAAGCGCCCTTGCGTCCGCACAGCTGTCAGTAACCGGCTCAAAAAAATACATAAAAGCAATACAGCATTAACTTGATTACCTGACCTACGGGGCTATGCACTGAAGAAGTCTTGATAAGGAGAACTACTGCAAGAGTCAAAGGTTTTAATGTTTTAGTGCCCCGATTACCATAAATGGCCGTGGCTGTTTTATTTGCACGACCGGCTTGCAGTTCGACCCATACCCCGCACAGGACATGGTGGTTCAGCGCGGAACTCCTACTATGACCACAAAGAGATGGCCAAGGTATGCACACACTTTGTCACCCATACTTTTGCACGCCCGGAGCAATCCTCAGACCAGTTGCCTTCATAGCCAGTGCCTCGTCTCAATCTATTTATCGCCTATGCGCTGCACAGAACAAGATTACACGAATCTCTCACCTTCACAGCTCTCTATCTATTACAACGACTAAAAGCAAGATTCCCCCCTGCGCGAGGCTCATCCGGCCACCGGCTTTTTATCTTCGCTTTCATGCTCTCCTACGAAGTCATTCGCAACGACACATATTTGAACAAGTCATGGTCCATCGTTGGCCAGGACATGTTCACCCTTTGCTAGATCAGCCAGATGGAACGCGAGATGTGCAGTTACCTCGAGTGGCAGCTGAACGTCGAGCCCACCACGCTTATTGAGTTCCAGGAGATGGTGAAGAGAGACTTCAAGAGACCAGGTCCGTATCCCACATACGCTGCTCCCTTGCCAGCTCCTTCTTTTATACCGTCAACCACCCTGTATATAGGCACTGCCTGCACGCCGTTGTTCATCAGCGGCCGTGCCCCCTCAACGTCTCCACCGAAGCCAACACCGCGCCTCCCACGGTGACCCTGGCACCTCAAACAGTGGTCACTTACCTCACGCCGCCATCATCCCCGGGAACTCTGTCTACCCCATGAGGCATTGCATTCGATGTTGACATCGCCGGCATCGTCCGTATCGCCACCGACACCGTCTGGCGTCGAAGATCTCACGACCAAGATCGTGACACCCGCCGGATCGATGCCCATGTCCATGGAGGCAGTGTCACAGACACCTGTTGCAGCACCACTCGCGTGCGCAGCTGATGCCCCAGCCGGTGCGGAGACCGTCCGCAAAATGCAACCTGTTCGCCTTCGCGACCCCGATCGAATGGTAGACGCACCCCGCTCTATCTTTATCACGCCGAGAGCAGAGGAGGGCTCGAAGTGTAACCTTGCTTGCATGCAAGCTTCGCGGCGATACCTGCCCACACTTGTTGTCCTCTTTCCCGCTGCTGCTAATTATTCTCTGTGCTTTTCATCGTTGCTCTCTTGCAGGTGCTTAATTGCTTTCCTCTTTCATTGATGTCTTTGTTTTGTGCTCCCTCCATGTAGTTGTACTTCATTAGTCTTCATCTTCTACAAATACAGTGCGAGCAGTATTACTGCTACGATCAATAATTCCCCACTTCTCGCGAGTGAAAATGCGACCAACTACACTCTGCACCGTTCGAAGGTCAACCACCACTTGTGACTGCTGCTCGGCACAGTAAGATGTAACTACCTGCGTAGCATCTCGGTTAGTGGTAACGCAAGGTGTTATGACTGCAAGCAGCAGTCGACACCCTTGCAAGTCCCTCCAAAAGCGGCTGCCTTGTGGAAGGTTACATTTGAGAATTTTCTCTAGCCGACCATAGTAGACAGCGCGGCGGTTTTCATTGCCAATGGCAACTTCATACTGTTGTGTTGGTGAGTACCATATGAATATTCAAACCACTGGACTCACTCGAACGTAAGACGCATTGCGCTCATCTGGGTGCTGACGCCTTCGGACAGCAGATGCACATCGTATTATATCTCCGCCATGATGAATCCATACACCACCCCAGAGTGGCATTTGTGTTTGCATGGAACCTTTGATTTGCTTGGTAGATTTGGCAAGAAAAATGCAAAGATAGCGGGCAATACAAATGCGAAGGCCTTCATCAGGTTTATAGTCTATCTGACGTGGTGTTTAGAGGATGCTGAGGGAATCTATAGAGAGTGAGTATTATACAGTGAAACTTGTCGTGGGCATAGCCCTGGCCTCCTATTTTATTTTCATTTTTACCGATTTATTCCACGTTTGTACGACCCTCCAAACGTCGCCGGCACGTTAGCGCCAGTTTACAAGTCCTAGCCGTGCGCCAAAACACCTTGTAAAAGCGCATCACCGACAGGCACGCATCAGCGCATCAGACGCGCCTCTATCGCCGCCGCCTCGTCGCCGCATCACGCTTCCTCGGTGAAAGCCGCACTCCAATCTCCACTGGACATCCGATCTTCGTCGGCCCGACAACATTATACACCATGACACGCCGGCCCCATTTATCTCTGAGTCCGATCGGCAATGGACATCCTATCCCCGTCGGCCCGACAACGTCATACACTATGACACACCGGCCCTCGCCTCTCCGCCAAAGTTCCCTAGATACTAGCAGCTGCCGTAGCACAGTCGCTTATGTAACGCCTGGTCCGTGCGCAGCCTGACTAGTATATAAGGAGTCCCTTTGTCACTACCTAGCCCCATCTCAACCTCTTGGTTAATTGGGCTAGGTAAGCCTTCGTTTGTATCGTAGTATAGTCACTAACACAACTTGGTTAATTGGGCTAGCTGAACAAGCTAACGCATAGTCGCCAGACCTCGTCGGCGCCGCCTTCTGATTAGATCCACGCGGCATCCCTCGTGGTGTGTTAACGCAAGTCCACATTAAAACTGAAGATTAACTCACACTCCTCGTACACATGTTCACCGGCCCTGACATTATCGCTGCTATGCCTCTCCATTGGAAGCTCTGTGCTAAGGTCGTACTTCATATGTAAATGTGCCAGGTTACTGAACTGCTTGACCCGTTCATCGAGATTTCGCCAGGGTTGTTTGCGAGAGAGTAAGGCCTTTTTCAGAAACCCACAGTAGTGCCCCATGTACCAAGACCATGTGGCTGACATGGGGCCACATACACGGATATCTGGGGCTACATGCAGTAGGCCATGAATAGTTAGCACACAGAAGGCAAGCCGTGAGTCTTCATATTGATAATAATACCTGGCAGTATGTTAGAGCTTGTCCTTAAAAAACACAAATCAGAGCACGCACTCTTCATACTTGTGAACCCATGAATCACAGGCATTCTCTAGCCAATCGATCTCTTGGTGTGTCAAGAAGTACTGTAGAGTCACTTTCATAACGGCAACAAGCTCCATAGCATGGTCGTAATACTTGCGATGCTTGAAGCGGCCAGCGAGGAGATGAGGCGCAAGATACATGAACCAAAAGGCATAGGATTCTGCTGTGTAACCCGACCTGTCCTCTGCTATATTGCCCATCTTGCACACAAATGCAGATGGAATCTCCTCGACTGCAGCTAGCGTTTCAGCTCCGATAGCAGACCAAACATTGTTGTCGAGCACATAGCTTTCACAACCTTCATCTAAGTCCTTGAAGTGACCGGTCCAGATATCAAGAAGGTTGGGAATAATATTTTCGGCGAAGAGGTGAAGCCACTCCCAAGGGCAGGAGCGACCGTGGTCGAGTGAGTTGACACGAAACAGTGCAGGGGCTTGCTTAACTCCATAGTGCTGCTGAAGCTGATTGCGATACTTTTTTGTAGTGGCATCAGCAGCCTTTGCAAGAGTTGTAGCGAAACTGTTGTGTGTACAAAGAGGAAGATTGCGGCTATCCCAATGAGTCACCACTGTGTTCTGAGATTGACGAGGATGTGTAATTGGGAGATAGTAGACCTTGTTTCTTCCACTTGCCATACGCCGGCCACGCATCAAACAAGAGCGACATGGACAACGGCTGCTGTGCGCTTTGAGCCCCAGAAATTTCTCGATTGCCAAGATGTTCCCCTCCTTGAAGAGCTGATAAGCATGAAGGGAGAAAATCTCCTGGATAGAGCAGTCAAAGCAATCAACGCCTTGTGCTAGTGTGGCGCATTCTTTGTCAAAGGGTACAAGGAAAGATGCAAGGTCCTTGGGCTGCCGAGGGCCTGGAACAACACTGAGACAAAGTAGATGTTTAAGATGTGTCCGAACAGTGGATGGCAAGCTGTAGATTTTAAGAAGCAATGGTGTTGCTGATGGTCCACCGCGTCGTCGACCAAAGAGGAGGAAGCCGTTGGTACAAAGACCAAAAGCAATATCGTGGGGATCAGAGAAGAAGGCGTGCTTGAGCTCCTCCTCATCAACAACAACCTTAGTGTGCAGCATCTCACGGTATCGCTCTGAGCTGAACACATCTGACACGACATTTGGATCATGAACAAATGTAGAGTGGTATTGAAGCTGCTCGACCATTGAGAGACTCTGGTAGAAGGCGCAAAGTTGAGGAATAAGTGGGATGTAGGTGAATTGGCGATGAGGACGTCCGTTTGGTCTGAATCGCGGCTGGTTGCAGTAAGGACAGATCTGGAGGTCGGCATGCTGCCCCGCATAGTATATGCATGAGTCGACGCAGCAGTCGTACTGCTGTGGCTTGAGATCTGCCAGGAGAGCAGCTTGCCGGTTGGTGACATACCATGAGCTCAGGTCCATCTTGTGTGTAAAGGCCCTGCGAATACTATCAAAAGTCTCTTGAGACA